TCCCTTTTCCTCTCAGATAAAACTGGCACCAAGCACGTTGATAGATACACAGAGTTAGGTTGCTCTGCTGCAAATTGGCCCCAACTAAACTACCTCAGTCTTGATGAGACAAAAACAAGCTAAACCTGGGTCTTCCAGCTATTGAGAGCAGCAAAAGGAATATAGCCATGATCAAGTCATATTTCTTTCTTTCCACTTGGAAATGCCATGCTTACTTTGGAGGGTTTGTGTATCCTTTTTTTTTTTTTTTTTAAACAGAAGTAATAATCTGCAAGTCTGATTTCAAGCCACAAGAATCTCTAAACATACAAATGCTCATGTCAAAAGCACAGCACTTCGATTTGCAACATTTTTCAGTCTGAAAGAAACGACATGTGTGAGCACATGCACGCACTAATTGTTTTATGGATCTTTTTTCCTCCTGACATTTTACACAACAACCAGTAGGTTTGGCAGTGTGTTTGCAGTATGTCTGGAAACACGGCGAAAATGGGATTTTACGTTGGAGTTATGCTTTTTCCTCACGTAATTTTCATGTAATGTAAGTAAAGAGCACGATGTAAACACTGCATTGCCTTTAATAACTGATCACTCTGAGTCCTGATGCAGGCAACTGGAATATTCTATCTACCCTCACTTCCTATCTCTGTGTGCACACACATGCAGCCATGCTTCTCAGAATTTGCCTGTTTCCAGTTTTCCAAATCCCAGCCACTGGCCAGTCCAAGCTTATGTAAACAACTTGGGATTCGAACAAACTCAATGACAATCATTGCTGATTAAACCAAACTTATACAAAGGCAAAGTAAATTGAACCAGGTACAGGCATGCAGAGATAAGATAGAAGCTGATTATCTTGCATGGCAACAAAGGAGAGCTGCCACAATAGAACAAATCAATGGTCCATCAGTTTCCAAATTGTTCCCTCTGGTTACAGCCAACACTTCAAAGAACACAGGGAGGCAACACTGCCAGAAGTCATTATTTGTCACACCAAGAACATGATAAATCAGTTCAGAACTTCACTTTCTTTAGGCACGTTTTATGATGTTTATTTTAAAATTAAGAGGATGAGGAGAACCTCTTCCCTTGAACACTTAAATAATTCTTTTTAACATCTGACCACTTATTCTGTACAGTCATTTCCAACAGTGGGACGGTACCCAAGAGTTTCAGTAGGTCACTCTGAGGGCAGGGTTTCTTTTTCCACCTCTCCTCACAGAGGCTGAAACCTTGATTTGTTCAGGCTGCAGAACATTTCACCTCTCAAAGCTGCTCTCTCAAGGTGCGCTGCTGTGATAAGTGTGATAAGATGCCCTAGCCTGGAAGGTCACTGAGAACAGTGGCTCAGGCTTTGCTTCCCTCTGACAGCCCTGGCACATTTGGTGGCCTCGGCAGGACATGGCCATCCACACAGCCTTGCCACAGGGCAAGCTCTTGCTAGCAAAGCCCGAGTCCCCAAGCAATCACCAGCTGTGTTCGCAGAAGCCATGCATGTAAATCCTTGGCCATCAAACACAATTTACTGGCCCTGGTAAAAAATCAGGTACATGCTTCATCTATTTAAATGAAATTTATTACAAAATCAAACCAAGTCAAGTAGGTGAACTAAGAAGTTCTATCATCTCTGCTAGTACGTTTAGGCAGGTTTTTTGAGTGGTAAATTAATAGCTGATTAGCCATTCCTTCTCCCCACAGAGACTATTTCCCCAGCCTTCAAAAACTGAGTGTAAATGAGGCACAATAATTCATTCCCTATTCTGCTCACTTGAGATGTTTTTCCTCTTTGGTCTAAGCAAGTAAGAAAAAATCTTGGAAAAGACCTATCTGGAATTAAATGGATTTAATCAGAGACTGGGGTGTCAAATTACCCTGGAGATGGAAAATATCAACAAGAGAGAATAGACATTTTGCATAGTGAAAACCAGCTATTTTAGACACTTTATGAAAGAAATAATTCAGAAGAAAACAGATCATTGGCCTGATCTGTGCAAGACAACCAGATTCTATCCTTTAAGTCAAGGGACACTGCAGGCTTTGCTGCTCACCAGAACATGCAGCAATCAAAATGATATGAAACAAACACACCAACCTAGAATGTGTGGATAAAAGCTTGGTGTTCAACTTCCCTTTTCTAAACAATATAATATAAAACCGCGGGAAATCAATCCTGAGTATCAGTTCTTAGCTTTTAGTATTCTACATACCACTGACTTAAGATTCCTGAGCAGGAAAAGGGTGTGACAGGCAATCAGTAGATGTAGCTCTTATCGCTCAATAAACAGTGCTTTAACAACCAGCCAGAGATACAGGTCCAAAGCAAGTTACACGGACTATTCCAGGAGCTGTTTCTAACTGTAATAATTACAGCGTATAATTAAGAACACAGCCACACACTCCACATCCTGCAGAAAACAGAAAATTAAGCTCCAGTGCTTGTTGCTCCCATCACTGGGCTAGATCTTGGCCAGGGCTCTCTATTCAGCTTAGGTCTTTATGCTCTCGTTTCTTTTCCTTCCCCTCTAAACCTTTAGGACAGCGACCGAGACCTCCAAGCAGCTGAAAGCCCCCGGAATAAAGCAGGAGGCAGTCAAAAAGACAACAGGCAAAATGAGCTCCGTTTCTTAAACTCGTTTGGGCAGGAGAGACAAACAGCAGGGTCCTTGCACCCCCCCAGGTAAAACCCCGCTCAGAATTCAATGAATGACTGTTCGTGTGCTGACAATAGAACAACCAAGTACTTCCTCCAGTCCGTGTCTCATGGCTCCAAGTCCTTTCCAGCTCTGCACCTCATCCCTTGTATACCACTGTCTGCCTAAGCACGTCCCGTGCCTCCTCCCGAGGAGATGCTGGGACACAGCAGCTCCTCTGAATCAGACAGATCTGCTCTGTAGCAGCTATTCATCGGCCAATACTCGGCACCTGGCTGGCAGGGACTGTACTCCAAACACAGCATTCCTTGGCACAGCACAAAGTTGCTTTGGGAGAAAAATGGACCAAAGACCAGTAACTTAAACCATGATTTAATGAGCACAAAAAGCTTATGTACCACAAAAAAAAAAAAAAAAAAAAAAGAAAAGAAAAAAAAAGAAAAGAAAAGAAAAGAGAGAGAAATTGGGCTGAGAACAGTCAAGCCTCAATTCCCTCTGCTAGTGGGACGCAGAGTGAGTGGGGCTGCCTAAATGGTACTTGCAGATTGCCTTACGAGAAACTTACAAGGGTGGCAGTACCCTCTTCTGTCTCTTTGAACAATGCTTGAGGATATTTACTGCCGCTGTCACTCATCATTGCATCAGAAGAGTTCTGGAAAGAGGGGAAATGCTGGGGCTAATGTTTACACCATGGGTGTGTGCTCGGGGGGGAGGCAGGTAATGACTTACACATATTACAGAATCTTAATTCCTGCACAGGCAGGATCAATCCACACTGCTAATACTTGCAAGTAAAGAAGTGTTAAAATTCAGGCTAGAACCTTAAGAAGGCAAAGGAACGTAACCTTAGTTTTTGTTTTTCAGAGTTTTCCTAGACTTGCTGGTAAGATTTGAAACATTTAAACATAATTTGAGACACCTGAAAGGTCAGAAACCATAAAAGATGGCTACCTAAAACTCTTTTTTAGGGGGGAAAAAAAATAAAAGGGGAGCTCCAATTCCCAAAAGTGTTCTACATTGTTCAACCACAACCATTAGGCATTTCATAATTATGGCCATTATTTATTTTCTCATCTCATGGCATTATCAAAACGCTAAAGAGAACACGGCCCACAATTATCTCAGCAGTTGTACCCAGTCATCTCCCAATTACATACACTCAGATGACAGCTGTTTCCCCTCCACTAAAATAAAGTTGATACCACTTAACCTGTTGACCTAAACACTCCAGTATCCTCAAGTGTGGAACAGAAGCACAAAATCCTGAACAGAATCTAGATAACAGTTACTTAGAAACAGAACTTAAAATCAGAATACAATAACAAAATCATAAAAACTAACTTTGTTGTCTTTTGTCTTAGGATTTTGACCACAAAGTATCTTTCCCTCTAGCTGCTGGAATAAGCATGTATACATTTAACGGATATATATACCCACATACATGTTTGTGCATGAATGTAATGAACACACGCCACATTCCTACCCGACCTTCTCACCTACATTTAACGCACACCAATTGCCCAAGGGTGACACAAGCCTTCAGCAACACCTCGATGGAAAAGCACTGATTCCTCACGGAGGCACCTGTTGGGATGCTCGTGCACCACACACCTACCAATTGCTGGCTTGTATTTGACACTGCTCTCTACGGACAATGCTATAGACAAAGAACTTTCAACCTGCCTAACTTAAGAATTAAAAAACACTTTCCTGCCACAAGGACTCAGAGCCAGGGGCAATAAAAGAAGCAAGCAAAAGGAGCATCACCTGTTTCTCACCCTCTTCTGACAAGACTGCAGCACTGATAATTGATAGAAGCACCTGTTGGATTAGAAACTGCTGCTACGCAGTGATCACCAGCATCACACACGTGTCACTGCTTGAAATCAGGAGCCACGCATCAAAAATTAATAAAGAACGGGTGACACTGCTACCTACTTCATTTCCACGTTCAGTATGAACAATTTATTCCAACTGCCTGGGTAGGCTTCTGAAGAAAACTGCCTGAAAGCAGCTCCTGCACTACCTGATAGATACACCTAAGGGCTCCTGAGATACAGAACTGAGATACAGCATTTCTCTTCACTAAAAAGGCAAACTTTCCCCCGCAGCGTGACTTTTGTTTTACTCCACACCTGCGAGGGTAGAAAAAAACAAGCCCAAACCACGCACAGCCCGAAGCGCCGTATCTGCACGATGTTCGAGCCCGGGAGCGGGGCTGCTCTGGAAGGCTCCGTGCCGGAGGAGCCCGCGGGGAGGGCGCTGGGCAGCACGGCCGGGGCAGCGCTGCAGCGGCGCTAACGGGAGCGCGGAGCAGGTGCCCGGCGGCAGCAGCGGGCCGGTACTCACACGGTGAAGTGGTACACGAAGCACTTCCATCCCGTGGGCCGCTCCAAGAAGTTGTAGACCCTGCCCTGGACGCTGCTGCGGCTCAGCAGGGGCTTGCGGAGGCTGTAGATGGAGACGCGGGGGTCCAGGCTGACGGGGGGCCGCGGGCAGTCGGCGCTTACCACCACCACCTCGCTCCGCAGCCGCGGCGCCCGCTCCCGCTCCCGCTCGGGGCCGCGTCCCGCGGGCGCCTGCCCGCCCTGCGCGGCCGCCAGCGGGGCGTAGTGGGCGTTCGGGGCGCTCTCGGCCAGCTCCAGCGCCGCCGCCTTCTTGCCGGGCGTCATGCTGCCTCTCCTGGGCAGCGACAGCCGGCCCAGGCTGCGGCTCCGGGGCTCGCCCGGCGGCGAGCTGGACGACATGGCTGGGGCGGCGCGGCGGTGCCCCGGGAGCTGCGGGCAGCGCCGGGCGCCCCTTCCCGCCGCCGACAGCGCTGGCCCGGCCCCCCGGGGCGGCTCCGGCCGGGAAAGGTGCGGGACAGCGGGGGCGGGCCCGGGCGCTGTCCCGGTGCGGCCCGGCGGGAGGCGCTGCCCCGGCGCCGCCGTGTCACTGTCCTGGCTGCCCACCTTGGCCTCTGTCACCTGTGCCCGTGTCACCGCTGTGGCTGCGCGGAGCCGACCTCTCACCTCTGTGAGGAGCTGCCAGGACAGAGAGAGGGAGACTTTCCTGCCTTCTCACCCACGCCAGGGTTTCCCACAGCTGTGGCATTGGGTGGTTTGAGATTCTAGGCTACAACCCCTTACTCCAGATTTAGGACCTCCGAAGCCTTCTGGACCTGTTGCTCCACTCCTTCTTGCAGCGGAGCACTGCCAGGGTCCGAATCCTCCAGGAGGCTCTTTTTTTTTCAATGAGTAACAAGAACTACGAGCCCAAAGAACGGGTCTTGCAGACCTTCGTGTTACTGTAACCAAAGGGAGTGAGTAGCTGAAGAACTGGGAAAAGTGCAGAACACAGCAAACGCAGTCCTGCAGAACTGCATCCTCTACAAGTTGGGTCCCTCACCAGCAGCATTTTGGGCTTTGTGGAAAGTTGCACGTTTGGCCATTAAGAACAGATCATTTTGAGGGCCTGGATAACTTTTGTAGTGGAGTTAGTCACCACTTCCATAACTGGTGTGTTGTCGTGGCTTTTTGCACCAATTAGTTGGTTAACAATTTCTATTCCCAGAGCGAAGGGAAAGGTGGTCTTTGATCTGGAGTGATGGTTTTTTTCTTCCAGCTCAAAATAGAACAGCACTAGTAAGAGCTATGTTGAGTTCATGGTTGATACTGGTACCCGGACAAGAATGTTACAGGGAGATAAGGTGCTAAATAAAGTTAAACGAAAACAACCCTTCTAATTGCAGTTCCATTCAAATGTCAGGCTGCACGAATTGTAGGGAGACTGAGCAAGATCTTCCACCAGTGTAAACAAGAAAGATGGGTGGGCTGTCGTACTGATTTACACCCGTGGGGGATCTGGCTCCATCTTAGGAATACAAAAACAGAACTGTTAAAATGAGACTTTGCAAAACTTGTTTCTGAACCAAAAACGTCCTAACCAGGCTTTTCCCGCCCTCCACCAGAGCATGAAGAACAAACCAGCTTAATAAAAACAGTATTTCAAAGGAAAAATTTCCTGTAGCAGGTCAAAATAGAGCCCGGTTTCTCTATTTTGAGAAACTGTTCTTTCTTGAAACAAGCTGCAAGAAAACTGGCTAATGGAAGAAAGAATGTCATTGCTACCCTCGAAGGCTCACTGTTTGAGGGCCAGCCTGATAAAGTCTTGATATTAAAGTTAACAAACGTGTTCCTTTATATAAGTGTTCCACTTTGTTTTATAGACCAACACAACATTGTCTGGGTCATACAGAGCCTTATCCTGGAGCCAGCTGCAAAATATAACACACAGAGTTCAACCAAATGAGGGGCCATATGTTAATCTGTAAATGATGTTGTTCTTCATAACACTCTTCAAAATATTTTTAAAATGTTGTGGCATAATGTTGTTAGTTATTCATTAATTAACAAAACAGAGAATAGGAACTTCACTCTATCTGAACCTAGGAAAATGGAATTTCTGTATTACTTATGCAGTTTCCTTGCAAAAGAAAAGTTAAGGGGGTATTACATACTTAAATGGCTAAACAGGGGAGAAAATTGGTAAAATCTAGATTTGATCTTCAGTGAGAAACTGTTCTAAAAAATCAAAGTTTTTTCAATACATTTTTTACTGCAAAACAAAAAAAAGTCTCAAATATATTCCACAGCCTTATATATAGAGTTGTTTTTCAGGACAGAAATATTTTCCTAAAGTTTAGGTTTGGAATTCTAATGTTGGCTAAATCTTTCAAAGAACCATCACAAATAAAGGAATTTTAAAGTATTTAAAATTAGTATTTAGGTAATATCTAAAGATCTTTTCCCAGAGTCAAGGAATTATTCAAAATCTACATTTTAAGTTTGTTACTGATAAATGATAACATTTATGTAGCAAAAATCATATTGTTAGATGATTACTAAGTAGTTCAAGGTAGTGAATGGTAAAACATGTCTGGCATAGGTGAAAGCAAGATCATACTTGAATAAAACTGTCCAATAAATGACTACTCAGTGATTAGAATCCAGGCTATAATTATCTTTAGTGTATATTAAGTTACCAAAATGGTATATTAATTTGCAAAATTTTCGAGATGCATATTTTAAGATGGTAATGGAAATTCCCATTTTTCCCCTCCTTAAAGTAGCCACGTCTTGATCTTAATCATGTTTATTCTACAAAAACGACAGAATTATGTAAGTGGAAGAAGAGGAAAAAAGAGAGTGTGGTGTATACATGAAAGAGTTAAAAATGGGAAGAGGAGGGAGATGAGTGTTCAAATATATTTATGGAGCTGGGTATCTCGGCTTTGATAGTGAAGAGCATAGGAAGACACGTTGAATAAAGAGGACGTGGGCTTTAAATATTAAGGTGGAACTGCTATGCTGAATTGTTTCTTAGAATAATAATAATAATCTGAGCATTTACAGAACTGCAGCGAAATAATACCCTGTACATTTTAAGTCACAGTTTGCAAGAACTGTTTCAAATCTTTGTCTTTAAGAGGACTGTGATTCTAAGCATGAGATATCATAAGTCACTATAGTATGATGGTAACACAGCAAAGCTGATGGCAAAGCACTCAATTCTAGAAATTTAATTGGATCAAGACTAGTAAATTACTATTTAAAGGCTTTTTTGTGCTACAGCAGATTAAAAATGTTTGTGCCATCCTGGGCTTCTGTTTCTGTTATCCTGTACCATGTCATGAACAGTATTATGCCTGCAGCATCAGGTATGCTCATGACATGAGCATACTGCATGACATGCTGTATTTTCACTTTGTGCCTGCCAGAGTACCATGCAAGATCACACTGCTAAATCCCTGATTAATGTTTGCTAGCAGAATTGCTGCAGCCAGTTAGAGACACCTTGATCTTTAGCCTGATTACTTCCCTGTGGAAGCTAAGACTCAAACAAACAGTTTATATCTGAATGTTCTGAAAGCCTTTAACACTTACATTGCGATTACAGGTTGCACCAGTTCTCCTCTGGCATGGAAATCCTCTTGTTTGCTGTTAGATTACTTTGTGGGATGGTTTTTGTTTGAATTAGGTTTGGGATTTTTTTTTTTAATACCACTTCAATTTTTGCCCAGCTACAGTATGAGACATGTTAAATAAGAGTTTTCAAGGAGAGGAGAGAGATAGATGTGTTGTTTCAATTTTTAAACTCTTTCTTGGATTAAATATTTTGTTGTGTTCAATTTCCTGGAGAATCCACATTTTAATTGAGTGAGTAGATAATTTTAAAAACACAGTCAATGATGAAGGTAAATGTCACTCGGTACTGAACTAAGAATAAAGTCCTAGATTTTTAATATATTTTTATATAGCAAGGTATGACAAAAACCTTTGAAATATTCTCTATCAACTGAAAAAATCTGCTCACATATTCATCATTACTTTAAAAACATTCCTATTAAAAGCTACAAAACAACTAAGTACTTAGACCTCAGACAAAAAGAACAGTTTGAAAACACAACAATAACATGTTACACAAATAAACCTCAGCCTTAAGATTCAAAACAAAAGCAAGGGGAAAGAGACACAAGGGTTTGCTTCACTTGCTAAATCCGTTGAAGACTATGGCTTAGCCAATTCAGTATGAAGATGTATGCAGATTTTTCATTCATTCTTCAACTTTTAATTAAGAACAATTTTCTGAGTACATGTAAACATTTTCCATTGGACATCTTGATAGTCTCATGTACCATTATTTTAAATTCATCTAAATCTCTTAATATACAACTTGTATGCTTTTATGCAAATTAACTTCAGGTTTTGAATTTAAGCAAAATCTTTTCTACAGGCTCTTGAATACATCTATGCTTCCCATGTGTAAATGCAGCAGGTTTTCCCTGTTGGCAGGCATTGCTAGTCAAACAACTTAGCACACCAGCAGAAACTCCAGACACAGAGAGTGCATTCAAAATTGCAGTACGTCCCAAAACACTGACTATGAATTTTCATAAGTCAGAGATGACATTAATTCATCACTTCCTTAGGAGACTAATCACTGTCAGAAAGACACATTTCCAACAGGTGTTTATGCAGTCTGCTTCTCTGTCAGTCACTTTCAAGACAAATGGAGCAGACAGAAAAGGGCAGATAGCATTCTGCTCAGAAAGTTTGAGGTGTCCTTTAATTTCCTCCCTTCTTTACTGCTGGGTTATTTTTGACAGTGGATGCAGTCTGCCCAGGAATCTGGGCAGCAGAGAGGAGCAGCCCTGCAGGAGATAGCGTGGCATGCACCAGATATCTGCTGTGCAGAGGCCACGCAGCCCTGCTGACATCCCTGATTAGCATTATCTGTTTGAATGCTATCTGCGTGCATGGCTACTTTTATATTATGTGTTTACATCGTTTCATAGGATTTTAAAGCATATTGGTGCCATTCTGGGAAAGGATGTTACTGTCCACCAATGCTCAAGTTTGAAGTCCTAAAGCAAAGAAGGACTGAGAATATATGTAGGCTTATGCCTCACCAACAATATTTCTGTTTTGTTTTCAAACACGTTAGGAACTCTGAGACACTGATCTCTACCCTCTGGATGCAGCTATCCAGACAATTCCTTATTCACCTCACAGTCTACCCATTGAATCAGTCTCCAATTTAGAGAAAAGGATGTTGGGGGGACCACGCCAAAGGCTTTACAGGAATGCAGATAAATGACATTCCTTCATGTCAAATGACATCCCTGTATCCCTTGCCTTGTCCACTGACGTAGGAATTCCATCACAGAAGGCCATTAGGTTGGTCAGGCAGGATCAGCCCTGGATGA